AAAGTTTTGCAATCCTATGACATTTTAAATTCCAGATTAGCATTTCAGATTATAAGAGAGAGAAAGAGCAGTTAGCACAGTGATTTGTCATTGTTATAAATGAAATAGCAAACATTTACACTTGCAAGCTCTAATGGTCGAAATTCTTTTGTACCATAGCCTTATTATGAAGCGCTTGGTTTGAGCATTGAATAGGGATTGAATCTTAATTCCATTCATGAAACACACACAGTACAATCAATATTCAAGAAAGATAAGGGAAATTTCCCATAACATTTAAACATTTGTTAAAAATAAAAATACACAAACCATATGAGAGGGAAAAAGAGAGACTAATTTTCCAGGATATAAATATAAGTAAAAATTTATGCCACAGAAAAATAATTTACACAAAAGAAAAGTTTTAATTTAATTGGAAAAATGATATTTTAATCATTTATAATTGAATTAATGTCAGTAAGAGAAAACATTTCCAGTTTTAATAGTCAATTTAGTTCATTTTTTGAATTTTATTTAAAGTATATTTCAAAATGACAATAATTTTAGAAAAATCAAAGTTGTATTTTTCTTATCATTATGGATCGTTTAAAGATTTTTATATTTATTGGATTTAAAAAAAAACATAACAGTTTATTTTCAATGTTTGCAGAACAATTAACTGAATGCTGTATTATAAATGGTCACTCAATGAAAAATTCTTATAATATTACGTAATTGTCATGAAATTTTTTTAATTTTTCTTTTTACATCATGGCCGCGGCATTATTTGAATTAACCTTTTTTGAAGCGTTAAAATAATTAAGTAAAAATTGAGAAATAATAAAAAAATTACTAAGAATTACACTGCAGAATGGTTCTGAAAGTTTTAAGTTACATTCTTTTAAAAAAATAAATGGAATAATAAAAAGGAAAGCAAGTGAAATCTAAAATTGACTAAAGTTAGATTCAGAAGATAGATTATTATAAATAACAAAATTACCCAGTGACCCAAAAGTGAATGAAGATTTTAAAAATCAATTAATGAAAAACAGAATGAGATAAAAATATCTGGTTTCTGCATTCCAAGAAAATTTATTGTTAGCAAGTTTCTAATTTAGTTACAAAGTTCTCAACAGATGGCACTGCAGACAGTAAAAAAATTATAAAAAATATTTTCCACAGAGTGTTAGGAAATTCCATTTGAAATATTTGCACAGGACCTTAGAAGTCCACCACATTTTTTTTATAAATGGGGGCTATTTATAGAAACATTGCTTCATATTTTTTTCCTATTAATTATATTTGTTGACAAATTCTGCAACTAGTTTTGGAATTTGAAGGCTTATTATCTAGTTTTGTTGTGGCAGTTCATTTATGTCACACTAGAGTTGCACAATGGGCTATTGGCAACAGTCTGGGAAACATCCCTAAAGATGTCTTCCCATCCCCATAATTTTGATCCTCTGCAGTGAGGATAGCACCCCCGCTTTGGTAGCCCGACGACCTGCACATGAAATTGAATACTTTATGATAGAACAGTTTAAGGAGGACTGATACTGCACACACTCAGACCCTTTGCAGACTAATCTAAGTGGTCATCCACCTGCATACCGACCGTAGATAGTGATGCTGGGAATCGAGCCTAATGATAATTTTTAAATAGAACAAAGCAAACCATACATTTTTATCTGCTTCTGTTTTTAATTGATTCTTGGAAATTGGGTCATTTTTTTAAACAACTGGTAGCTTGTTCTGAGTATTTTATGAACTGATTCATTATGGCAAAATTGACTTTGCATATGCATAAGGGAAAGATAAGATGATTAAATTTCTCTTAATTTGATCTAATTCTACATCAATAACTATCAATATCTACTACAATAAACACAGACCATCTTTAACAACTTACAATTTGTTAAAAGATGGAAATAACCCACACATGAAATTTTTTTACTGAGTTTATAATACATCACCATACATGAAAATATTTTGAGATTATGGTACCACAAAATATAAATCTACTCTAAAGGTTCCTCTATAACTAATTCTTTTTTCAAAAAAGACTTAAAAACATTTAACTATACCGAGTTACTACTTGATTTAATGGGTATTATAACCTATTTTTCTTATACTGCAGCAAAATTTAAGAAAGATTATTTTTATCACAGCAGAAGGAAGCTACCATAAGGTGGTTAAGATGTTTTCACAATTGAAATGCTAATACACTTATATTTCATTAATGGGTTATTTAAATACTACATATGCACCTTGAAGAACAGGTTATTTAAATTTTTTGGCAAAGAGAAGGGTTTTGAACCTTGCTTGTGTAAGATAGGAAGCACTGCTGTCTAGATACATCATCAAATGTGAATAAAAAAGATTTATGTTTTTAATATATCAAATGTGAAAAATAAGATTTATGTTTTTAATATATCAAAAACAATATAAGAAAGAATAATTGAATAAGAAATTTAGAAGTAAACATTGTTATAAGCACAATTGTAGTTATAAAACTATAGCTGTAGCTATTAATTACATTACATTGAATGAAATGGTAATTCTTTCATTAATTAAATTTTGATTAATATATCGGAGGTGCATACATTTTAAATAGCATTGTACATTAAAAATAATGGTATGAAAACTAATTGCTCCCCCCCTTTATTCTAGAAGTTTTTTTTATCACATCATCATGTAGGTACTGTCAAACAAAAACAAAAAATGCACATTTTAAGCATTTAAATACAATGCTAACTCTGAAGTTTTCATTAGGGGGTACATGGTCTCATTTAGCCATTTTAGAACACCTACACACTATTTTTACAATTATAGCAGTGTTACTGGGCAAAATAGTAATAAAAAAAATCTTAGAGCTAGCGATTTGCTAATCTTTGCAGAAAAGGGAAGAAAGGGAGGCACAAACAAGTTTTTTTAACAACTATTCAACAAATGCATATATATTATTTGAATAGTCCCCCGTGTAAAGGATATTTGATAACTGCATTATTAGGAAAAATAGTGCAATACTTAGACTACAGTTGCAAAAAATGCAACACAACATTTTTTTAAATGACAAGATTTTATAGATCTACAACTGCTTTAAAGACAACATTCGAATAAAAACTAATATCAACTTGGCGCACAGTTATAAAGAGATTGCTTTATACTTAAAAATAACCAGAAATGAATAGTTCTGAAAATGGTTACAAATCTAAATCTTACTTTCTAACTGAGGAATGCATACATAGCAAGCTCATATTATAATTTATGACAATCAATGTTGGCACTCATTATAATACATACAACAGCTAACACCTTTTTCCCAGTTGTAATAAGCGCAGTACCTCCAGCACGACCTCATTTTTAATATGGCTTATACATAAAGATGAGGGAAAGAGGATTGGTGCTTTGACACTAGAAGATCACCAGACACTATAAGTCTACTCCAACTAAATGCTGGAAAATTCTAAATTTAAGAATCTGGGGATTTATTAAAAGTTCTACATAAGGATGTATGTAATTTGCTTTTGATAACATTAGCCGGCTTCAGCTACTAATTTTTCAGATGCCTGTCTGTGGCTTATATTAATTTAAGGATAAATAATTCCTAGAGGGTACGAAATAAATATTTTTCTTATTACCTTAATTTATAAACTTTTATGCTTCAAATATCTCGTAACTGATAAAGCATTACATCGTCTTTTAGAAAATGAACTAAAAACGTTTCTTATCCCCCCCCCCCAAAAAAAACTTACATTTTCAAGTATAAGCTATTTTAATTTTTCTATGACCAGACATACTTTGAATGTAATGCTTCTGGTCAAAATTGTGGGGTTCCAGTTGTGATGCTTATGCATTGGAATATGTGGCTGGATATATTTTGTTCGTAATACCATATCAATTAAGAACATAAGGTAAGTAGAAATTATATTGAGTTTTTTTTTTATTAAAAAATTGAAGACAAAATATCAGGGAAACAAATATAAAACTAGATATAATTCATAAAAAAAGTGTTATAGATCTTCACTTAATATATTCCAAAAATTATAATTTTTTAAATACATAAAACAATTTGAGGCCTTATACATGAAAAATTAAATCAACTTACATACAATAATATATTTGTAAATAGCAGAAATATATCATTTCCTAGTTGCAAGAAAAGTAGAGAAATTAAAAAAAACAAGCACTACAATAATAATTATGTTACCAATTTCAAAGTGCAATAACACCTAATATTATGAAAACATAAGTTTTTCTGCTAGTGTATCTTTCAAGCAACAAATTTTTTTTTGTAGGAGTGAGAAGAAAAAAATTATGTTGCTGAGCCTTAAGTGCGATTTTGAAGCACTTTTAGTGTTTCAAATGTTTTAGCTCGTAGCTTGTTTAGCACATTGATTTTGCCCATTAGTCCCAGGGTTAAAACCTAGTCAGAAAAACTGATTTTTTTTTCTATGCGGATTTTTAGCAATTTTCAAGGCATTTTCATCTTTTTGCCTAAGTTAAGAAAAGGGATTTAGCCAACTCATACGAACGCAAGACCATAGTTTAAAAATTTATGTAACTTGTCATTAAAGATCTAACATATGAGATATCTAAGGTGTAAAGTTAAGTAATTTGTAGTAGGTCATATTTCAAGTAATTAGTCATTATCTAGTTTCATACCATTCATTATAAATGAAATATTTAATTTTATTAAGTGCAACAGTTATTGTGATTATATTATTTTGCAAGATGTACGATTTAAATCCTGAAAATATATCAAAATACCAGGCTTAATATTTCAGTTGGTGGGTTAAACAACTGAAAAGTTAGGCCAGTTTCAGCAAATGAGACAAAGTTTAGAGACCCCTAAAAACATATAACCTTCTGATCAGTTTATATACATATAACAGTTTGATGAAGACAAGAGTCACAGTTGAACTGTTAAACACCTTCTCTAAGTAGCAAACACCTTCTTCGCATATCTGTATAAAACTGAACAATATTTTAGATATTTCATGAGTTACAAAAAAAAAAAATTACTTTAAAACTACTTTATTAGCTATTTTATTTCAAGAATTATTGCATGTCAATATTGGAAGAAATATTTCTGTTCAACTATTACAAGCCAAACAGAAGATTTAGATCATATCACTGCGATCCTAACAAATGTAGCTTAATACACAATGGAAAATTAAGAGTACTTAATAACAAAAAGAAAATTCGTTCATTAAAATTCACTTTTATACAATAACCAACTAAAATAAAAGAATGTAAAATATTACATACTAATAATAAAACAATATTATAAGAGACAGCAACACTAATTGTAAAAGAATAAAAATTTTAGCATATGAGAGCATAGAATTTGAAATTTAAATATCAACATAAAGTATACAGGTGTTAAAATTTTTAAATAAACAAAAACAATTTTAAAAAATCACAGGACATCTAAGTAATAAAATCTTAACATAAATTAGTTCCTCCACAATATTTGATACAAATTCATTTGCAATAGTTATAAAATGAGATTTTAGCATCTTTAGGGATGATTTTAATAAAATAAAAATAAAAAAACTATAGCACTGAGAATAGAAATCCGAAAATGTTATGATCATAACACTTTTAAAATAAATGAAAAAGTATCCGAAATGTCAGCAACTGCATATATCTATAAAACAATATCAACACTTTATTAAAAAAAATATTGATATATATTTCTTAAAGCTTAAGTTGAGTTGATGCATTGATATTGTTTACTCGCACATAAAAATTTTCAAAATTATGTAAAGTTATTTTTAAATTGAGTAAAACGAAATCCTGACATGAGATTTTGAAATTGCATGGAAATTGCAATGTATAATTTTAAATCACGTATATAAAAATCATGATGAGTGATTTTTTTAAATTTCGCAAAGGTAAATTTAAATTGTCTTTAATAGGTAGGACAAAGCGCAAAAAAAAACTCCTTTTAGGGAATTTAAAAATGAGGAACTTTTCTTTAAATAAAAGAATTTCTTCTTTTTCCAAATTGAAAAAAAAGTGGAAAAACTCCTTCCTTCATGTTAAATGATTTTCAAATATTTTTAGAGTTAAACAGGTATAAAACGGGATAAAAACTAATACATATAATAACTAAGCATAAAACTATTTTTAATATTTTAAATGAATTATATTTGCTTTTAATTTATATTTGCTTGTGGACAAAATTCCATTTTTATCATCTACAAGAAAGATTTTATTAGTGGTAAAACTTTTCCCAGATTCTCTAAAGCTCTAAGCACATTTTAGTTTCATTTAAAAGGATAAATAACAAATGAATTAAAATCAACTGATTTAGCATGACGGACTGATATATTGGTTTGTTACGCACCTATAATACAACAAGCAGCAATGAACACAATAAAAAATTTCACTTTTGGAGTTTCTTACTTCATTCAACATAGCAGGCTTTTAGAAAACAGTAATGAGAAAAAACTGACTGATTGCTTTTAAAAGAGTATATAATAGAGAATTTTTCTGTCAACAAATACAATATCAAATAATTTGTTTCAAGCAGATGAATTTTTGTGTAGTGTAGTTCCTTTAGTATAGTAACAAGTGGAAATTTAATTTTCCCAATATAACATTTATCATTCTAACCAATATACAAAAAATAAGATAACTTTCATATTTAATAATTATGCCAGTAAGCTAAATTTTGTAAATAGGAAAACCATACTAGTAAAAAAAAAGTTAACAATAAGGAAATACATTATTGAATATTTTGAGATAATAAACCTACCCAGGTACTATAAATAATTGTTTTATATTTAAATATTTACATAGAAAGAGTCGTGTTACAAAATAAGTGCATAATATTTATAATAAAACTACGCCAAATTACATTAATTTGATTATATATAATTTTTAAAAAAAATTATTACAAAGATTAAAATTTTTTTGATTAATTCAGCTTGTATACAATTTGGTTTTTCATTAACATAACTAAAACATTTTATAAATCAACAGTAAAATTTGAATTCTTAACATGAAAATTTTGTTAAAAATTTGAAAAGGAATATAAGTTTAAAAGTAAAAAATAAATATAATATTTTGTAGAGTATATAAAGCAATACAATATGAATAACGTATAAATAATGACATAAAAGTGGATAACTGTCTAAATTTATGCCATAAGTTATTCACATTATTCTGCTTTATTAGGAAATTTTTTTCTTCATATAAATATTATGCCCACAAATCAATATTTTAGTTAAATTGTTCAAAAAGCTACTTTTTACTATAAAAATATACAGACTTACAGAAGTTTTTCATAAACACTCAATGATATTTTAATTAAGAAAAGCTGCAATAAAAGCTGCAAGCTTAAGAAAAGCTGCAATGTGCTATTTTTAGAAGTAACATCATTTTTTGAAAAAATGCAATAGGTAAATGAGCAATATCATTTAACAGTCAAACAAGTGTCAATTCTTCTTGAAAATTAGACGAAGGTAGCTCTGAAGGAGGAAAGACAACCCATAGTCTGCAATTAAAAAATTTTTTCTCTTTAGAATAAACAATCCTTTATCAAAATATTTTCTTAAAAAGAAACCAATTTCATATAGCTGTAATTGTGGCTAATTTCTGTCTCAAGATTGGACATTATTTTTTATAAAATCATTTTTTTTTGGTTTATTGGAATCTCCAACATGTCCACTATGAGGATTTCGCGACAGGAATAGTAACCACCTCAACTATGCTTACTAACATTGCAGATAAAAATAATACAGAAAATGACTTTTAGTAGATAGAGGATGACCTAAGGTTGAAAAGCCAAGGCCAGAATAGGATATCAATAATAAAAAAAATATTCTAGCGCACACACTATAGAGTATCATCATTAATGTTGAGCCACAGAATGATTATCTGGTACCAATAGCAGGTATAACACAAAAGCTACCACTTACATTTCAACTACATTATTCAGGCTCTAAATGTTGTTATTCTACTTTATTCAAACAATGCGAATTGAAAAATAATGAGTTATATTCAAATTTCTAAAAGCAAAATAAACACTTATACTGATATTTTGACACAAATGAAAATAATTAATGAATATCAAAAACTTAATACATAAAATAAGAAAGAGTGAAATTCTAAATTTAACCTTCATTTGTTCTCTGCATAAGTAAAATAATATTTTTTTTCATCTGAAAAGTATAGATGTCTATTTTTCAATAATGTCACGTGTTCGTCAGAGCTTTTAACAAACCCCTTTTACTAATCCCTTACGAAAAAAATTCTGTGTTTTACAATTTCCCATGACTGGTCAGTTGCTTCAAGTTCTTTATTAGTGAAGAGCTTAATTCCAAGAAACTTCATAATAATCAGGAGTCAGATCCAAGAGGTAAGGGGATTATTAAACATGTCCCATTTGATTTGGAGTAAACGACCTTGATAAAAGAATAGCTTGATGAAAATGCAGTTGCTTGGCGAACAGAACTACTAGTGATACAATAGGGATAAGTTTTAGAAATGCCCTTTTTTAATATTTTCAAACTTCTAGTTTTGGAAAAGGATATTTTTAAATTAGTACTGAAAATTACAAGCAAGAAAACAATTATCAATTTAAAAAAAATATATAAATTTCTTAAAAAAAGTGAAAGACTAAGGAGAAATAAACTTTATCAGCCTTACTTACGGCAATTAGAAAGCAGATCTGTGAACTTCATCAACTTGATTCAATGGCAAATAAAGCTATAACAACTATTTAGCATCAGTTATTTCATCTGCTTCTTTGTTTCGACGGAAAAAAAGAGGAAACATACCCAGCAAGCATCCGATGGTTACTCCAAGAGCACGACCCTACAATTTGTTTCACAATATTATTCACAAATTTTATGACAAGCACAGAGGGACCAACTTTCTAAATTAGCTATCAGAAATAAGAAGTACAATAACATAGAAATACAGACATTCAACTCATTTTGATAGGTCTTGAGATATTATAAATTAAGCAAAACCAACATTATAGGCTCCAAATTATTAATTATTTTCCTTACCAAATCATTGAGAGCATATTCCCAAGAGTGTGGCTACCCCTTATATATACTGAGGATCAGAAATCCAGATCTGTCAAAAAGAAGTTATGCTACAAAGTACATTTTCAGTTCTGAATCTGTCATTTAAAATCTAATCTACACTATTTAATTAACATATTTGAGGCAACCCCTCGATTGAGTCCTAGAATGTGAAGATTTCTTCATTAGAACAAAAGTGATTCAGGGTGGCTCATATCCCCTCCCCCCTTGAGCACTGTATTTATAGTTTTTAGACGAGCAGCATTATTACACTTTAGAATTTAATGATATATAATAAATAGGGATGCAAACACTTTAATTATATTTACAAAATTTCTATTTTTCTAATGGAAAAGTCATTTTTTGTGTGGTAATTTGTGATAAAATCATATTTTATTTAAATACAATTTTTGACCTTCAAATTTTGTATATTATTTTTTAACAGAATGCAATAAATTAAACTTATTTTCACATCAAAAGACACTAATAGTTTCCATAATCTTTTCAAATATATCAATTTTTTTCTTGCAATTTTCCAAAATAATAATTTTTATTAGGTAAGAGAAAAAAAAGGTTGAAAAGTTCTTCATAATCATAAAATACACTTAAATAAATTTTTTTCGCAATAATAACTTTTTCACATTTTAGATATAAAGCAGAAAAATAAGATAAATAACAGATTCAAAAAATAATTAAAAAAAATAATAAAAATCTACTATTGCTTATTTCTTTCAATGGCAAAGTAAAGAATTAAATGTGTAATTTCCAATTTGATCATGAATAAATTGGTTTAATTCTAAAATTAAAATTTTTAAAGACTGATATTATTGTAATATTAGTATTTAATCAAAAATTCGCAATTCTAGCTTTGGAAAAAAGAAAGGAACTAAAAAATTAAATTTTTTACCAGATTTATGCACCATCGTGTTCTAGACGAACTTGCCTGAGCCGGGGTTATAGAGGGTGCCTCAACACCAATTTTTGAAGCTATCCTTTCCACATAAAATGCAGAGCTATAAATAATTTCTTATATTAAACATAATTTACAATAAAATTTCTTTCAGAATAAAGAAATAGTTATTCATCATATAATTACATGAAATTAAAAAAAAATTCTTTAAGTATTTTATTTTCTATTTTGTACATGAGAAAAATTATTAAAAAATATATATATTTAATACTGACAACAACAAAAGAACACTTTCTTGTTCATACCAGTGCAATCTATGCACAATAGACTCAACTTGTCAGAACATGATGAACAGAGTGTGAGAAAATAATGACGCATTTTTCTTCCATACTGTTTATGCACTCAGCATCAAAAATAATTCAATATAGATGTATTAATTCATTTTTACTATATTTGTTACAAACCCAACAAGTTTTGGATGAGGTTTGTGCTTAAAATTGTCGAGTTTATGTAGAAGCAGTGTTTGTTAATAAAAATGTTTAACAGAAATTCGACATGCTTAGCTTTGAAAATAAAATTAATTTTAATACTGGTGTATATAGACATGAAAAAAAAACATAGAATTGAAACATAGTATGGAATTCTGTTAAAAACACTTTATTGGATACTAAAGGGAGAAAATATTGTCGAAATGGTATGAACAAACTGTCAAAAATAGACAAATGTCATAATTTTAAAATCAAAAACAAAACTTAATAAATGCATTTTGTGATCAAGCAGAGTTTTACCTTATCAGATTCAAATTATTGACTGCAACAGAAATAAAATTCGCGACTTTCTAATCTTAAGTGCATTATAAGAAGAATGACAAATGAACAAATATTTAAAAAAAGAAAATTACTTAAAAAATATAAAAATAATTGGAACTTTAGAAAATGGCAAAGCTTCAAGTAATACAGCTAATATTTCGTCAAATAATTTGGTTTTACTTAATGAATACACCAGCAATCTTCGGCAACAACCTAGTTTGCCTTTTTTTAAATTATTAGAATTTAAAGATTTGAAATCGTACAGTCAAAAATAAAGACAATATGTAAGTATAAACTAGTACTGCTCAAGTGAGAGAGAAAAAGGAGGCCCTATACCAAATCACACCGGTTCAGTGGTTAAATATAGCATTTTTTAAATTTTTGATAACCTATATCAACCACACATTTTTGCTCAATTTAAACTATGCACTTAGTGAGCTTTAATTATAGTTTTTTTTCCTCCAAGATTTCCTCTGCTTCTAATTGCTTAAATATTTTATAACAATATTGTTTCCATGACCATGCATTTAGAGACAGTAAAAAGACATGTTATTTTTTTTAATATTGCATACGGACAACTCAACATTGTGGGTTGGAAAAAATTGCAAAGACCCTAAAAATTGAAGCAGGCTGTAACAAAAACACAATATACTACTTTGTGAAGGTATTCAAAAGATATTAAGGAAATTATAAACAGTAACAATGGGTTTTCAACAGCAGAATTTTTGTATTTTTGATATAGCCCCCTGTCACAATGACCTGTGACGATTATTTTTTGAATTTAAGTTGAGTATTTTTTTGTTTGATTTATTTCATTCTCTTTGCTCAAGTAATTATGTCACTTTACTTTTGGATTTTCCTTCCTTTAGTTTGTTTTTATTCGCAAGTTTTTATTTTTCAGCATTGATGTTTTGTAGAAAATGTAAAATTATTAAAACAATAATACATAAAAGCAATTAAAATGTTCAGAAAAAATCATATAGTTGAGCAAATATAACCAACAAAATGAAATAAATTTAAAAAATTCTACTAATTTCTGAGAATTTTAATGTATCAGTAATATTTTTTTTTTTTAAAATAAGAAATTAAAACTATAATTTCCAAGAAAGATATATTACTTATGGAAAATTATTTTATACTAAAAGTTGTCAGCAGTGAATTTAAAAAAATTAAAAATAAAAGCTTTAAAAATTAAGTTCTTACCCAATACCTGCAACATCAGACAGGGTATTGCCAAGACCAGCAGCTGCAAGTATACAATGAAATACTAAATATACAATGAATACAGAATTAAAATATAGATTGGCACAACAATAAAATAGACATAAACAAGTTTGATTGTTAATCAATTTGAAATAAATATTAAACCTAGTAACATAAATGCGCGATATTCAATTACCATTTTATACACCTATGAAATAATGTGATAATGGTACTCATTTGAATCTTGCAATAAAAATTTGTTTGTAAATAAAATATTTACACAGTGAGATAAATCATTTACTTCTTTGGTAAATTATCTACACCGTGAGATAACTTATTTAATTTTTTGGTAAATTATTTCCAAATCAGCTGAATTTTTCTCATTAAATAAAATTTTTAATGACATTTTGCAAGCCCAATTGTATCAAAAATTAAATTTTTTTTAATTTTTTTTCTTAACATTACAGAAATGGACAGATCTAGTAAAAATTACAAATTAAACCAGTTCAAACTATCCACATTTGATTGTAAAAGGAAACATGAAATACAACTAATCCAATATAAGTAAACTGTAGACATACCAATAATAAGAAAAATTATTTAATCATTATTAAGTACTTAAAAAATTCAAATAGCATTACATTAAAGCTAATTTAATTGAGTTTTATTTCTCCTCAAATAAAATTTTGACACATGAGAAACCATACAATTCAAGGAAACCAGTCAAATATATCAAAGTATTTTGTTCACTCATGTTTTGTATTAAAGATATTAGCGCATAAGTGCATAAAAAATGTAAAGAGCAATTTAGAATAAACAAAAATCTATGCATATTTACCTGCCATCGTTGAAATACCAAAAGTAACACCAATGGTAGTATCAATATAATCCCCCTAAATTTAAAAATAAAAAATTCCATAAACTTAACTATTTCAAACAATGTTTATATGAGTAAAAAAACCTATTACAATAAATACCATGTTTTTTTTAAGATCCAAAAAAAAATAATTAATTAATAAAATAGAATAGCACTTTGATATTCATTATTTATTTAAATGAATTACAGTTTCTGGAACTTAGATGATTAATTGATTGATTGAATGAAGGGTATAGTGGCACATGGAGCAGAATTTAAGTTTGGCAGGAAAAAAACAGAGTTAAAGCAAAATATTAGAAAAATAAAATAACTTTTTGAATTTTACATAAACACATATATAAGGATTGGATTGAATGTAGAAGTTTTATGGCACAAGATCCAAAGCAGGATATGCTGCGCCAAACAATTTGTTGAGTTAGATCTAATGGTAAATTGCACACAATAGTTTCATTGTCATAAAATAAATGAAACTAATAAAATTGTTTACCTCACACATATATAAGGAAGATAGTCCAGATAAAAAATAACTGGATAGGACAGAGTTTCACTTTCTACACCCTCTCCCAGATAATAAAATGATTTGAATTAATCGAAGAGGGAAAAAAACAATGAATCTTGGAAACAATAAGTTTCAAAAACTCTCAAGCTATTATAAAATAGGGAATTAATTTGGAATCTCCCAAGTTTCTCTCCCAGATAATAAAATGATTTGAATTAATGGAAGAGGGAAAAAAACAACAAATCTTGGAAACAATAAGTTTCAAAAACTCTCAAACTATTATAAAATAGGGAATTAATTTGGAATCTCCCAAGTTTCAAGAATTAGAAAATAATAAATAAGTAAAAATAAAAATTCTGATATATTTGAAAGGAATACGCAAGTCATGAAAGTCTCAGTAGAAACTGAAAGGAAATATCTAATTTTGATAAATTGACGAATTAAAACGGGTATAAAAACAATCTTCAATTATAAACTTTTTCGGAAGGGATCAAATAATGTTTTAGTACCTATATTTTACGTTTCGCTAACATTATTTATTTTTATGTAACTTTAAATGACATTTATATTTTATGGTTCTAACATAGACAGTTTTATTTATAATTGTTTATTAATCATAAAACTGAGTTTATCTAATCAAAACGCTATACTATGCATTAAATACCATTAAAAAGTAAAATTTTGCAAAAATTCAGAATTTAAGATTAAATATTGCACTCCCCTTTTAATCGAATAACCAGCTTAATTGCATAGATTTGGCTGGAACCGATGGTATTCCTTTATGTGGGGTTGATTGTATTATGAAATTTTTTTCTTCCTTTAAAAGTTTAACAAAATGGCTATTCTCCATTATTCTACATACTTTACTCTGTCAGATAATAGCGAGTCTACTAAGCTTTTGACGTAATTACAACAAATTCTACAAAGATTATTTTTTTTACATTTAATCATGGAAATCAATTCTTATTATTTTACTAATAACTTGCAAAAACAAATATAAATGAATGTCCAATTTTTACATCAAATACCATGTTCAATTCATAGGTCCAAGTTAATAAATAAAAAAGTAATTGAAAACATCACAGAAAATAATCTTTTATAAAAGGGCTAACTTACTCTTAACAAAATTCACTTACAGCAAGTATCATTATTAGATTATCCAAAAATCCGAATCCAATGAATGGCATTGCACTGTGAGCAGCAATAGCTTTTAATTGAGAAGTGGATGGAGGTTCTGGTATTACTTGGTCAACTATACAAAAATAATCACACAATTAACAATTAATTAAAAGAAAAGATTCAATTAATTAAAAACAACAGTTAAAAACAATGTTATATTTAAAAACTACAACTATTTAAAATAAAAAATTACATATGTTCAGAATTATCAGGGGTCTGTCTAGGTTTTTCTGAGAGGTACCTATTTTGTGAAAATTTAGACATAATTCATGAAAATTAAAAATTATATTAAAAATCAACACAAAAATATGGATTTATCGTTTCTTATGCAATAAAAAAATAAAATTTCAAGAAAAAGTATTTTGTGAAACTATCATTTTTCCTAAATTTGAATTTGTGAAGGTACCGCTAAACGGTAGTAAATTTGGCCAAGACAAAACCCTGATAATCCTCTATATAATTTTTAACTTTGATCTATTTCATAAAGTTAAGTTGTTATGGTAATGTTTTTGCTTGTTCCATTTTCGTGGTTCTTCAACTTACACCATTATCTTTAAGTGTTTCGAGTTTAATTGTTGAAGCTTGTACTTTATATTTTTGTGAATGGAACTGTAAAATAAACCATTTTTAAATAATCCAGAACACTAACATCATTAACAAATTCTGATTCAAAGTGCAAAACAGAATAACAAATGCAAATGTTAAAATGGTAGTAAAATATACTTGTTACACACTACTACTCCCAATTTTTTATTATTCCTTTTAATGCAAGAAAACAATTAGCAGTAAGTTTCTGCACTAATACTAATGCTCAGAAAGAAAATGTTTCAAAATCATCTTACAGAGATGGTACTAAGCAAAGAATTTCAAACAATAAACACAATTTATATATATACAGTGGAACCCGCTTAAAAAGTTTCCTTTTAAGAAGTTTTCCCGCGTAAGAAGTTATTTTTTAAAAAAACCAATTACCATAATGTTAAATTTACTTTTATAAGAAGTTTTTTTCCCGTTTAAGAAGTTTCCACTCCTAATTTCAATTTTTTAAAATTTTATTTAAAATGTCTTATTTAGTTTTAACTTGCCCTTACAAACACATGTATGGGTACTGACCACTGACCTTCATCACTCCTTTGTTACAAAGAAAGGTGACTTATCAGGAACAGGTGTGAGCAAAGGAATGTGAACCTTTAGATGAACTATGAAACTGATAAGAATGTAGGGAATAGCTTTGTCATTGTGTCCACCTTAAATGAATAGCCTGGTGACTCACGAACTTCACTGCTGTCCACACCCATTCAATAACTGAAGAGAAAGATACATCTAAACATTTAGCAGCATTTCGTTGAAAATTTTCTTAGTGTAGGCGCTTATGTTATCTTAAAAATCATCGTAAAAAGTTTGATTTTTGTGGAAAATGTCCTGTAAAGGCATTAAGCGTAAAGCTCTATCTATTGATGACAAAGTAAAAATTTTAAAAGCTGTTGACAGCTATCCTCAATTAACACGAGTTCAAATAGCAAAAAATTTAGATCTTCCTGTTACTACGTTAAATGGCATTATTGCTAAGAAAGACATCATCTTAAACTCTTCTTGTTCCGGTGCATCCCAGAAAGTAAAAAAAGTGAAGAAAGGAAAATACGAAAATATTGAAGAGAAACTGATGATATGGTTTAAACAAGCAAGATCCGCCAACATACCTGTCAACGGAACTCTTCTTAGAGGAAAAGCATTAGAGATTGCGGAGAAATTGAATGTTGATTTTACGCCTTCCAATGGATGGATTGATCGGATGAAAAAAAGAGCTGGTCTAGTTTATAAAACAATTAAAGGAGATTGTAACAGCGTTGATTTACAAGAAGCTGAAGAATGGAAAGCTAAATTACCTGAAATTATTTCAGGGTATCAACCAAAGAACATTTTTAACATGGATGAATGTGGACTGTTTTTCAATCTTTTACCAGATAAAACTTTTGCCTTTAAAGGTGAACCCTGTCATGGCGGAAAAAACAGTAAAGAACGTTTGACAATTTTAGTTGGGGCCAGTATGAATGGTATAGAAAAATTACCGATTTTAGTTATCGGTAAATCGAAAAAACCAAGATGCTTTCGAAATGTTAAGTCACTGCCTTGTGATTATGACAGTAATCAAAAATCCTGGATGACAATTAAAATTTTTGAAACGTATTTGAAAAAATTAGACAGTAAGATGCGAAAAGAAAAACGAAACATCATAATCTTCGTAGACAACTGCGCTGCTCATTCCAAGGAGAATAAGTACACTAACATCAAGTTGCAGTTCTTACCACCAAATTCTACTTCTGTTCTACAACCAATGGATCAGGGAGTTATTAAGGTATTTAAGCAGCATTATAAAATGCGACTTGTGAAACGGATGCTGGAAGGACTTGAAAATACTGGAGAGCTAAAAAAAGTCAATATGTTAGAAGCGATTGAGTTAATTGTATCAGCATGGGAATTAATAACACCATCTGCCATTGCTAACTGTTTTCGGAAAGCTGGATTCTCTGACGGAGATACAACTGAAGAATATCTCTTAGAAGCTGAATATGAAATATCAGATGAAGACGAAGAAACAAACGTAAATTTTGTTAATGATTGGAAGTCATTCAAAAATAAACTTAATTTCACAGCATCGTTTGAAGAATATGTATCCGTTGACGACGAAATTTTACCTTGTGATATGCTGACATTAGAGGATATTTGTGATGTTACAANATATATATATATATATTCATATTTTGCCAACAGGTTTAAAATAAAAATTTTAGAGAAAATTTTACTAAGTTGGGAAAAAGAAAAATTGATTTTATGACCTAACAACCTAAAACTAAAAAGTAGAATTTTTCTCACACAAGCATGAAAGAAAAATTTAAAACTATTATAATTGTGTAATGAGTGCCCTGTAATATTAATAATGATCAAGTTTTCCATTTAAATTTGCAACACTCTGAGAATTTACTGTTTCTCTAGACTCAGCATATCCAGGAAGATGACAATGTTTTTTAATAAATGTACTTAGCATTAAACTTTATTTTTTTTTAAAAAATTCTTTCCTAAACTTTTAATTTATAATACCTTGAATAAATCAATTTTGGAACAAGATGAATTAAATATTTATTACACACAACATTAAAGTACATATTTATTTAAAGTATTAAAAGTACATTATTTAAAGTACATTAAAATTTAAATCTTAATTTATCATAAAGCAAAAATATTAAAAGTTTTACCTTATAATATACAGAGTTAACTTGAATGACTAACAGACAAACAAATATTAAATATTTAAACATGATTAATTCTTCAAAAAAAAAAAAAAAAATCAGAAGTTCAAAGAATTAAGCCATGTTTATGTGCAGTTCAATTAAGTATCTTTTTACAAAAAAATTAAAAATCCAATAAAGCTATTCTTTCATGCAGTTAAATTAAATATAACTGAGCTAATTAACTGGACAAATAACATATTTAATCAACTCTATGAAATAAATTACATATTAGCTGTGCCAAAATTTATGACCAAGCATTTGCTTTAATACAACTCTGTTTTTAATTAAATTTAAATAAAAAATAATATAAGTACAATAGCAAATAGTTAATATTAAGTAAGCAAAAAAGTGTCTTTGATTAGAGCTTTAAAATTTTTTGCCTTCATTTACTGACAAATAAAAGCTGCTTCAGCTTAGTAAGTATTGAGAATAAAAAAAAGTTTTTTTTTTTTAAACTCTAACCTTGAATAGCAGCACCTTGAGTTTGAAAGCGTTGCAATTCTTCGAAAAGAATAGTCCTTTCCTTATGATTTAATTTAAAAATAAAATCTTGAGCTAACTGCCGGGAATGCAGCTTATCTTTTATTTTGAATCCTGTATAACCAAAAGTCACGTTGTTTGTTCGATATTTAGAAGCATTATTTATGTTAAACGTGAATTTGCACAGCCGAAATAATCGATTTTGACACAGAACCGCCATTTGTTTTGATTCTTTTCCGATGACAACTCCAAAAGTGAAAACGAAACTGTACAATAAAAGAAACTGTGGGTGTCTTGTGGGTGCAGTTTTCAAACCACTAGCCTAATGATTGGTATCCGTTTATCGAGTCGTACGTTCATAAAAAGAGGTTGCTAAAAAGAACTGAATAAACTCAAATGCTGTTGAATGTCGCAAGTCTTCTTTTTAAAATATCAACATGTGAAAACTTGAAACATAAGCGCGGACATTAAATTTAAAAGCAGTAAAAACGGTTCGTAAGTAAAGTAACTGGCTATCCTTGAGTTTCTAACTACGCAGAAATAGACAGCTGGAAACGACTTTTACAAATTATTTAACAACAACAATATTCATGAACTTGCCGACAATCTAAAAATAAAAGTCAATTCAATGGTTAATTATTAACTATCAAATTTGGCTTTAAATTTCCTTAATTAATTGAAAGACATGAAATCTTTCTTAAAATGTAAGTCATTTTTGTTCCCAAGATTCCATTCTAAATTGAATATAAATAGATTGTCCACCTTAAATGCAAATAATATTGCTGTAATTCACGAAATAAACAAAGATGCTTCTCCTTCTGAAGCTAAAGTTTCCACACTTTTTGTGCCTGGGAGACATGGTGGAACAGTTTATCAAATTGTCAAACCAATCATAGACTCTAATTACATAGAAAAAAATGCGATGAATATTGAAAGATCCAGCAAAGCTAGAGGTATTGAACTTGATGTGCACCACTTATTAAAAATTATGAATGAATGGATTATAAAAAAAGAAAAACATCAAAATGCTTCGGATAAATTTTTAGAACTTGAGGAGGAATCTAATAGGTTTAAAGAATTGAATTTTATTGAGGAAGCAAATGCATTGCGTAAGCAATCGACTGAGTGCTTGGAAGAAATTAAACTTGCAAAAAAAGAGTTATATGATATTGAAGACCTTGTGATGCCATTGTTAGCAAAAATTCCTAATACATTAGATCCATTAACACCATTGCTGAATGATTCTGTAGCAGTTCATGTCGAGCCTTCGAAGAATAACTCTATATCTTTATCTCACACTGAAATCGGAGAGCGTTTGTCACTCTTAGAGTTTGTACATGTTAGTCCAACAGCATATTTTCTGAAAAGTTCTCTTGCAGAATTGGAAATGTTGGCACAAAATTATTTTTCTGATAAACTTCAAGAAATGCAATTTGCACCTATGTCTTGTGTTGATTTTGTCAAATCCTTTATCCTTGAAGCTACTGGTTTAGATCCTTATTCATGTGATCAATGTATACCATTGAAAAATAATAAGGCATCTTTTAAAGTGATTCAGAACCTTAATCTTGTGGGTGGGGCCACATTTCAGTCACTATGTGCATATTTAATAAATATGAATACCTCTGTTGAAACTCTTCCTGCGAAATATTATTCCATTGGTCGACACTACGAATCTGGCAATAGAAATAGTAAAAAACCAAGTCTTTTCTCTGTTGTGCAATCATCTAGTATTCACAGTTTAGTTCTGGAGGAACCCACAAATGAAACAACTGAATTTGATTCAATGTTACAAGTTTTGTTAACTTGTTATTCTCACTTTAAAATTCCATTCAGAACTGTTGTTGTTGCTGCTCCAAGATTAAACTGCACCGAAAGTTGCCGTGTGCAAATAGAATTGTGGTCACCAGCTATGCTTTGCTATGTTCCAGTTGCATACGTGTCTCGACATAATGACTTTGTATCGAAACGATTGCATATCTCATATGGTGTTCAGCATAATATTAATGGTTACTGTGCTATAGTTGAAGGTACTGTTGTTAATGTTCCTGTCTTGCTAGGCTGTTTAATAGAGAATTATGCTAATAAGAATGGAGATGTTAATTTTGAAAAGCTCTATGAATTGTTTGATCAATAATAAATGTATTTAAGTATTAAAGTATCTGATTTTTTTTCCAAATATGTGTAATTTTGTGATTTTTATTTCTATTTGAGTCATGATACTATAGGTTAGATCAGTTGCTCACTGCCCGAATTCGCTCCACAACACTGCCATCAAGATTCAAGAATATAACTTTAAGAGTGTTTTATGAAGTAATTTTTATTTGCAACAAACCTGAATAAGGCAGAAATGGACATACTATTGTTTTGGTTCTCTAAACAAGAACTTTCCTCAGTGTCCGAACATTCATACAAAATGACTGGAAAAGTAAGGAGATAAAGATGTGTGTTGTTGTTTAACCAATAGGAACAAAGAAACAAGTTTCTTTGTTCCTATTTGTTAAACCCCTTTTCTGCTGTCATTTGGTGTTCTGACACTGAGAAAAGTTCATGTTTAAAGAGCAGAAACTATTATCTATCCATTTCTGGTATATTCTAGTTCTAGTTTTTTGCTTGAGTCTACGTAGCACCATCCTCTTTTTGAATTTTATCATATTAAGTATAGCAAAAGTTGAGGTTTAAGTAATGAAAAGAAGTTTCATATACTCAGTGGCTCAGTTGAATTATCTATAAAATAGAAATAGAATTTAATAAAGAGTCATTTTTAATAATAATTGATTTAAAATAAATATTAGAAATATTGAAGTTCACTATAATGAGAAGGAATGGCAAATGGTTAGGACTGGGCTATAAATCGATGTATCGCGACATATCGATTTAACGCCTATATCGGCAAGTCGATACAGAGACTTTCGTTCCAGGCGATGCATCAGAAATCTGATTTAAGTCTTCGAGGAAAAATGATATAGCGATATAAGACACGCAAGGAACTTCCCTTACGTTCCGATGCCGACTCGGGGTGCTCGTTTCGTTATGTTGAAATGGCCTTGATTGATTAGCGGTAGAATCAGAACCAGAGTTTTGAGAATACTATATCGTGATCTCGCATGTTCGTTTTCGCACTTCTTAGTTTTTTTCTTTGTCGCGACTTGATATCATATCTTGTAGATTATTTTCAGTGGGACTAACTTCGTGATCGCTGCCGTTGCCTTGTTCTGAACGCAATCTATTATTGAAAAGAATTTATAAAGAGTTTCGTCATTAATTAGGTAATTTTTTTCAACAAAATTTTTTCTTATTTTTAAATGTGAAAATTATCGGAAATCTAATTTAAGGCGCCCATAAGGAATTAAGTTACAAAGTAATTAAATTTGTTAGGATTTTTTCTTTTCTTTTAATTTATTAAAAACTCTTTGGATAAAACTTCTAATAATTTAATGGGTTTTTATTACTGATTTTAAATTTATAAATCTTGAGTTGCTTTTATTTCTAGAAATAAAGTTAAAACAGAACTTATTTTTTGTCATTTGGATTTGGACATAAGTCAATCAACTTTGTTTAATCAAATAAATTTGAAAGGTTTGCGAATTGTATTCATTTTTTTTCGTTTTATTAGAGAGTACAATCAGTTTTTTTAAATGTTCTTTTAATATTATTAGTTAATTAGCTAAATATATTATCGACTATCACAATTCTTTTGTTTTTATTTTTAAGAAATTAAACCTTACTTTGTTTTTCGGTCATTATTCAATTTAATGTAATTATTTATGTGAAATAATAATAATAAAAGTGATTTAAAAGCGCTTTATTATTATTATTTTTTTTTTGAAATTTATTTAGCACTTTGTTTTGAACATACAAATAATTTTTAACGAACTTATTTTTTAAATTTTCTTTCTATATTGTTAGGTAAATATATTGATAAATTTCTATTTTATTTATTTTTTTATTATTTATTTTTAAATTAAGAAATCTTTCGTTATTTGCGTGATCATTTTTAGAAAATATAACAAAACTTGCGTTTACTTTTTCATTTAGAATTTGAACATTACAATCGAACTTAATAATTATGTAATTATAAAAGTTATTTTTATATGGCTCATTTAGTAAAATTATTTTTTATGGCTTTAAACTTTTTTTTTTTCAAAATTCATTCGCTTAAACTAATTGATTTTCAAATAATTCATAAACCTATCGTTTTAAACTTTCTTTTATTTCTAGTTAAAAGCTTAGTAAAGTTACCTAATAATTACCAAAATTAATTAATAATTTAGGTAATTAGGCACTTAATTAGACTGCTAATACCTTATAAACGATGAAGAGGTGCAAATATTTCATTCTGTATCTACACATTTTTTCAATAAATATTTTAAGTAAGTTTTGTGCATAGTAGTCAATTTATTTAATATCTTTCTTAAGCAAAACATATATATCTTCAAACTTATAAATTGATTTAAATCAATTTGAGTATGGAGTTTCGATAGAAATCTGACTTTCTGTGCCTTACAAGTAAATGAAATTCAAAAATGCTATATCGCGATGCAAAACTGACGATGCATCACGATATATAATTTCTAATATCGCCCAGTCCTAGTTAGGACCATTCATCACAGGTTGAGAGTACTCCTTATATTTTGAAGATAAAAATTTTAATTACTTAAAAAATCGTAAATTTTTTACAAAGAATTTTTGTCTTCAGCAATTAGGTAAGTTTTATTGGGTTTTCTGTCTCAAACTTTGTAAACATCTGATTTTTAGATTAATAGTTATTAAATAGGATTTATTTCTACTAGTTTTTCAACTATAACCTTGAGGTTTGCCAATGTGGGCCTCAGTCTGAAAATTCTCATCTGACTTTTTTCGGTTGGACCCACTTGAAAAAACCTAATTTTTTTTCAATCTTTTCATTACAAAACCCGATGAAACATGGGTTTTTGATGAAAAATCCAGATGGGCTGGGTTTTTTTTTTAACATACCTGTACATATAACCAGAGTTCTTCCTAGGAATGAAAAAAAAAGAGGGCGCTGCCTCTATGAAAAGGCAACTATACGTTTTTAAAAGGCACTCATTCAACACCATAAAAATTTATAATGTGTACCTATTATTATATAATAACTTAATTTGATCCTCAAAAATTTTTAAATTCCCTTCTTATACTATATTATGAGTATATTTCACAAAATAATTATCTCTCATTATCAGAATAGGAAAAAAAAAATAGTTTATAAAGCTAATTAAAGGCATGCTAATAGAATCTATTAATAGATAAAATTAAATAGATAATCTCTGAACATAATTTTTTTTCAAAAAAAGTTAGCTAAAAAAAATATGAATTGATAAATTTGAAAGATTTTTTTAAGCTCAAAATTATGAGAAAATAGACATTTAAAATTTCGTTTTTTTTTTTTTTTTTTTTTAAATTTTTTATTTACAAAATAATTTTAAAAATGAAGATCATGAAATTTTTTTTTTAATATTTCCCCTGAAAAAAGAGATAATAGATACTGATGAAAATTTAACAAGTTGAGAATAATCCTAACAAAGTAAATTCTATTTGTAATGCAGTAAGTATAGTTTCGAAAACCTTGTTAAGTCAAAAAAAATATTTTTCCCCTTGGCGTTAACTATCCACCTAATGTTAATTTTAATTCCTACGTCGAAGAGCTCTTTTTCTTGTTATGTCAAATTTTTTCCAAAATAGAAAATTACTTTTTTTGAAAAATCCCAATATAAGTAATTATATTGGGATTTTCAATTAAATAGAAAATTGTAAACCAATTTTCTATTTAATGCATAATTATTTTTGTCCTTACCTTTTAAAAATAAAATTATCATTGTTGTATTTAGACTTATAGTCAACATATTAATTATATTATACAGATTTATTACATAGTTATTCTTAAGTTTTATGACTATTTTTTAGAGTAATATTTTAGAATATTTTTTTTTACTTTTTAGGACATATTTAGTTTTGAACTTGTTATCTCAAAAATTCGCCATCTGGAAAATCTTTTAGTGTTTTTTCAACTTAACGAGAGTATACTGTGATAATCCGAATCAAACCTCTAAACACAGATAATTTTACCTGTGCATATTTATTATTTAAATAGTGAATTAATTTTTAAAAAAAGGGAATATGAATAAAAAGGCAGTGTTTTTAAGGGATGGGCATCTTATTTTTACAAAAAGAGCAAAGAGGGTGCATTCATAGGGATCAAAAGGCAGGCAGAGTGAACCAACCTTCTAAAAACATTTCCGGAGAGCACGGCATATATTATTAATAATTGTAAGTATTTTTTTAATTAAATTATCAAGAGAGAGAGGCAATTTCGCTCTTTCTTAACCCTTTTTCTAATTCTGCTAGAAAAAAAAATCTGCACCATAAGCCTGGTCTTCATAATTTGTACATATTTAGAATAATTAGGATTCACTGATTATGGAAAGTTCTTAAATTTGTAAAAAATTTTATACAATAAATTTATGCCTATGATTAAAAAATATAATTTCATTCCAAGAATGCCTATATATATACTTACATTGTCAACTTCAATAATTAGATACTACAGAAATTATTGGTATGATTATTTGTGAACACCAATTGAACTACACAGAACAAAGAGGAGTAGTCATAATATTGGAAAAGTGACTTCATCTGCCATATGTTCAAGGTTAGGATCACACGCTTTCCCTCTATCATTATCGAAAGAGTTATTTTTAATCATAATTATGCAAACTAACTATTCTAAACTTTATGAATCAGTATACTTAAAATTATTTTTCTTCTTTGCATGACCATTTACTAGATTTTATTAGATCACTTATTCAAACATATATGAAATGTAGTCTGAATTATTATTAAAAAAATTTGAATTCAGTACGGAAATTTTAAATGACAGTAAATTCATATTTATACTTTTTTATTTTTCTCTTATTAAATAAAATTGGTATTAGAACATCATAATACGCTTGTTCATACTTGTTCAGTGCCCTTTTATTCTTTTTTTCTTTCTTCTTTTCTTAAACAGGACTAAATTTTTATGTGCTATTTCAATATCCTTTCTTCATAAAACTTTAATGCAAACTTTATTTTGTGCAATTATTGGTGAAATCTAAACAAAATTTCAATTTCATTCAACCTTGTTTTTTTATTTACTTT